TTGGAGTTCTATATGCTTCCTGTACTTAGATGTCCATGTCTTTATACAAATTTGAGGAATTTTCTGCTATTATTTCACTGAATAAATTTTCTAAGTCACTGTGCTTTTCCTCTCCTTCAGGGATGACTAAGACATGTGTGTTTTGCCATTTGGTGGTATCTCACAGATCCTGAACACTCGTTCCTTTTGTTGGGGAGGGGTTCTTCTATTTTGTCTGACTGATATTTCAAAAGCTTTGTCTTCCTGCTCAGATATTCTTTCTTCAGCCTCATCGAGTTTGCTGGTTAGGCTTTCCACCATATTTTTGATTTGATATATTGAATTCTTCATTTCTAATATTTCAGTTGGATTGTTTTCTATTATTTCTACTTCCCAGCCAAATATCTCATCCATGTCATTAACTCATGTAATCACTTCTCTGTTTTTGAGTAATCTTACAATCAATCTTTTGAATTCCCTTTTGGTCATTTCACCAATATCTTTATAGCCCAATATTGAAGTATTATTGTGTTCCTTTTGGGGAGTCATATTGTCTTCCTTGTTCATACTTCTTATATTTATATATTTTATGCATCTGGAGAAACACTTGTAGATATCTCCTCTGAAGTCTGCTCTTTGGAACGTGCCCTTGATGTGGTGGAAGGCCTGCACCTTCAGGGGATATCCAGAGGTGTGTGTGCTGGTTGGGGCCAGGGATCGCTGTCTAGTGATTGTGGATGGGGCTAAAGTCCAGGCAAATCCCCCAAATGTGAGTAGCTCTCCTCTGTAGTCACTAGGGCAGAGGGGAGGATCACCGTGCCTCTGCTCATCTGTGGGCCAAGGTGAGCCTTTCTGTGCCTGCACCTCGTACTCACTCACGTGTACAAATTGTACAAAGAATCTGTGCACGGCGTGGTGTTAGAGCATGGAGTCCTCCTGGCTTATAGCACAGAACCAGGATTTCCACAGTCACATAGGGCAGGATTCCCCCAGTCACAGGCTATAGGGGATCCACTCTGCCCCAGAAGCCTCTCTGTCCAAATAGAGAGCACTCCATCCCTGAGCTGGGCCATTTTAGTGGGGACTGGGGAGGAAGGCCCTACATTCACCAAGTTAAGAGGGCACCATGCCCCTTGCCAGTTCTGACTCAAAGTCAGTGGAGACCGCAGGCTTCTCTCGCTGACAAAATCTACCAGAGGCTTGCAGGCCACAGCAGCCTCCACTTGCCATATTCTGGGAAGAAATCACTTTCACTGCTGGTTGGGGGAGGGAGCAATGTGCCCTCCATTCACAGAGTGAAGTGGGCACTCTGCCCCCCACCGACTCATCTGCCTGGAATCAGTCAGTGGGGACCACATGTCTCTTCCCCAGACAAGATCAACAGTGGAGCACAGGTTTCTGCAGAATCCACCAGCTGCCAGCCATGGGAGCTGCTGACCGCAGGAGTGGCTGGTAGTATCCCGTGAGCTGCTGTGTGTCTGTGCAGTCCTTGCTGCTCCACGGAATCTCTCTTCTTACCGTAGATGTTCACTGTAAAACCTCTTCAACTAGCTCCCAGGCATACAGGCCCTCACATTTTTCTACATTTTCCCTTGATCAGAATACATGCAGCTTTTCTCTATCCAGTTATCTTGGAATCCAGGTTGTTTTTATTTCTACCATTTCAAATAACACTGCCATAACCACCCTCCTGTGTTTCTAGGTGGATATAAGCATGTTTCCCAAAGCTATTTCCTTAGAAGTAGAATTATTGCCAATAGTAATAAACTTCAGTGTGACTAGATACTGAGAAATTATCCCCAGAATGGTTGTGCCAATTCATACACTCAAACAAGGGTATGGGTTTCCTGTGTTTCCATTTTCCTGCCAAATGAGGTGTTATTTTCAAACTGGGATTGTTGCTTATCTGATGGGTGTGAAATAAATTCTCTTGCCTTGATTGCCATTTCCCTGTTTACTATGAGGTTAAGAACTTATTTTTGTAAGCTGTTCACTCTTCTATGCTGTCATGTACTTTTATCCACTTTTCTATGGGTTTGTCTTTTTCCTTTTGTCGAAATTCCCATTAGATATTAACTCTTGGTGTTATACTTCACCATTAAGTGTGATTTTTTTTTTTTTGAAGTTTCTCTGGTTAAGGTTTATCTTCAACCCTCCACTACAGGTTCAAGTCCTGCCTCTGCTTCCTATTCCAAATTCCTACCTATGCACACACACTCTGGGACGCAGCCAATAATGGCTCAAGTAGTTGGGTCCCTGCCACCACTGTGGGAGACCTTGAGTGAGTTTCTGACTCCTGGGTTTGGCCTGATCCAGTACAGGCTATTGCAGGCATTTGAAGATGTGCAGATGGAGGATCCCTTCCTCTCTCTCTCTCTCTCTCTCTCTCTCTCCCTCTCCCTCTCCCTCTCCCTCTCTCTCCCTCCCTCCTCCTCTCCCCCTCTCTCCCTGTAACTCTTGACTGCCAAGTAAATAAATAAATCTTTTAAAAAATTTCTCTTAACACTGTCCATTCTTATCATTCTTATTTATTTATATATTTATTTCTCTGAGAAGCAGAGAGAGTGGGGGTGGGGGAGAATATGAATGGGAGATGGAGAGAGAAAATGGATGGATTCCCATCTGCTGGTCCACCTGCCAAATACCTGTAACAGCTGGGACTGGGCCAGTACAAAGTTAGGAGCTGGGAGCTCAATACAAGTTTCCCACTTGGGTGACAGGGACCCAATTACTTGAGCCATTACTTGCTGCTTCCCAGAGTCTATGTTAGCTGGAACTGGGAGCAAAGCTGAGACTTGAACCCAGACACTTTGAAATGGGATGTAGATGTTGCAACCAGTGGCTTACCCAGTAGGTAAACTTCTAACCTATGACTTCTTTCTTATCTGCTCCTGTGTGTGTGTGCATTCGTGTGTGCCTTTTCTCCTTTTCTTGAGAACTGCTCATATGTGATCTGCAGTTAATATATTTACCTCAGTCTTCCTTTGGTAATAGGTGGTTTACATCTCTTTTTCCACCCATTTGTCTGGAACCCTTAGCTTGTCTGCTGCTTTTTAGTAACATTAGCTGGATTTTTAAAATATCCACTCAGATATTTTCCATTTTATTAGAGTAGATTAATCTATGTGCATGTATTGTGATTCTTAATCTACTTGGACATTTTACTATGCAATATTTTTATTTGCATTTTTCTTTTTAGCCTTCATTTTGTTTCTCTTTTAGTATTTCAGCTTTCTTATTGCATACTCCCCATGTACCAGTTGAAGAACTAATACTCTATTTCTATTATTTTTAGTGGTTACAGTTAAATTTTGGCATATACAAAGTGTGATATTAATCAGAATTTCTATCCTTGGGCAGGTGCTTAGCCTAGCAGCTAAGAAACCCATGTCTGGGTTGTGTGTGGGACTTGAGCCTTGCCTCCAGAGTTTGCTCCAGCTTCCTACGGAGGCAGATGCTCAGTGGCAGCCATGATACTTTCAATGATTGGGTTCCTGCCACATGGGTTTCCTACACCTAAATAATATAAAGTGCTAAGAATAATTCCTATTGTCCTCTTTCTCTGTCTTCCACAATATTATTTAATATTTTAAACTTCTCTAAGGTGCCAGTTTTCACAATATTTATTTAGATTTACTTACAGCTTTAGTACTTTCTTCACGTACTATTGTTCCATGAATCCTACTTCGTTTGCAAGCTCAGTTTCATGAACTTCATCAGCAGGGGTGCGTGAATGGCAAATGCAGGTATTCCATTCTGAGAATGTCTGTCTCTCTCTCACCCTTGACTGCTACTTTAGCTGCAACAGAATTTTGTATTGACATCCTTCCTCTCTCAATGTGTCAGGGTGCTATCCAGAGTCTACAACTTGATACACTACTGAGAAATCCACGGCCACTCTGATTTCTGTTTCTTAGTAGAAAATCTGTATCTTTACTCACATAGCTTTTACATATTTCTTTGACTTATACTAATTTATTGCAAACTGTATAAGTGTGGATTTAATGTTATTTCTCATTGTTGAAGCTGCTTAGATTGGTTTCTTTTCAATTTTAGAAAAATATTAACTATAATCATTTAGAATACTGACTTTATCACTCTTCTCTCCTTTTAGAGTCCCTTATGCATGTATGTATAGATCTCATCCTTTCCTCCTCATCTCTTAATTTCTCTTTTAATATTTTCTATCTCTTAATCTCTATGCTACATTCTGGGTGATTTTTCAGATTAACAAATACATCAATTTCCTCTTCATCTAGTCTGCTTTTTCCTTTTTAAGATTTATTTATTTATTTGAAAGGCAGAATTACATAGGGAGAAATGAAAGAGAGAGAGAGATTATGATTATCTACCCACTGGTTCACTCCCCAGGTGGCCACAACAGTTATGTCTGGGTCAGGCCAAAGCCAGGAGCCTGGAACTCCATCAGGGTCTCCCAAGTGGGTGTCAGCGGCCCAAGTACTTGGGCTATCTTCCACTGCTTTCCCAAGTGCATTAACAGGGAGCTGGATAGGAAGTGCAGCCGCTGGGACTCAAACTCGTGTTCATGTGGGATCCTGGCATTGTGCTATAACTCCAGCCCCCTATTCTGTTTTCCCACCTTTACACTCTACATAAAGTATTGTATTTCAAGAATTGTATTTATGGGACTGGCGTGTGGCCTAGTGGGTAAAGCCACTGCCTGCAACACAAGCATTCGATATGGGCACCAGTTCATGTCCAGACTGCTCCAGTTTTGATTGATTACAATTCTCACTTGTGCCTTTAATGGTGAGTTTCTTCTCTATGTCTGGCACCTGGAGATTTTACCGTATTTTATTTTTACATGCGCCATGCAATCTTTGTCTAATGCTTTGCTGCATCATATGCAGAATTCCTCCGTAGCTTCTATAACTGCTTAGGTCACCAAATTGGCTAGACATGCTTATATGACTTCTCTAATGAGGGTAAAAACACAAAAAGCTTTAAACTGTGTTTAAATAAGTGTTTTAAGTAACCTTTTTTTTCTTCCTGCCTCTCAGTGCTGAATTTGAAGAACCACATAATTATGAGGCGACAATTTCATATCTGAGACACTCTGGCAACTCCATTAACCTGTGCACTGCAGAAGAAATTGCTGATGGTAAGTCTGCAAAGCCAATTAATAGTGTAACCCTGTGTGGAATGAAAATGTGTCAAAAATGGGATTTTCCCTCTGGCTAGCTGCAAGTTTAAAAATTCACAGCCATTCTGCTCTGCCATCTCATTTCTTTTTTTCCATCTCTAATCTCTTAAAAGCATAAGTAGGTCCAGTTGAGCATCAGTGCTATCTCGTGACTCCTATTACTGCCTTTCCCTCTACCTGCTCTCCTCTCTCGTTCACCATTTGACTCTGCTGCTTTGCCAGTTGTAGATACCTGGGAAGGAAAATCAAGATACGCTGATTCGGTTTTTTTCCTTCTCAGATGAAGATAGAAACTTCTCCTCTCATCTTGTGGAGTATCTCGTGAAGTCCCCTGGTTGCTTGGTTGTATGTAGAGGGTGATAACAGACCATGAGAATTAGGCCCCTGTGTTACGTCTGAATAGGATAAGGGAATTTATTTAATGGTTACAACTGCTGGTTCAGAGCTAAGTCTTTCTGCCCCTGGTATTGCTGACAATGCTCAGACCTTTGTTGAGGGGTAGGGTGGGGGAACAGAGCCTCTCAAAAGAATAAAAAAAATGAAAAAGCAGGGACTAATGACATGTTTGCAAGTAATAAAGTCTTTGTCCCCCCTGTAGTGTCAGCCAGTTCTCCACAAAAGGCATAAACACTATTGTTGAAGTGAACGTTGGAATGAATTGAGCCTGTACTGTAGGCTGTGGGTCTGTGTTAGGTCCTCCATGTATATCCCTGCTGATAGTGTGTTTTCATCACCCCACTGTTAACAATAGGAAACTGAAGATCAGAGACTGAACCGCACACACAAGGCCATACAAGTAACATTGTGTAGAGCTGTAATGTGAAATGGGTTCAGTTGGCCTCAAAGATTCATGCTCTTCCCACAAGTTATGCTATTTCTCTTTTGAGGAAGTTGGCTTTCCTGGGAGGGAGACTTTACTAGAGCTCATTTTGTCAAACAACTTTGTTGTATAGGCAAGAGGCCCAAGGTTCTGGAAGGGAATGCCATTTTCCTAGGAATATAGACTTAGCACCTACTGAATTTTCTCTCCACTCTCCCAGGAAATAGAGCATGGAGAACTACTAGAAAAACTCCCTTTCTCCTAGATTGAGGAAAGTCTAGGCTCCCATCTAGCTGATAAAATGTCAGCCATAAAGAAAGCAACTCCCGCCCCCTTGCACCCAGAAGACACTGGTGCCCTATAATCAGGATTTTGGGCCCTTGTAAAGCAAGGGCTTCTCAAAATCTAAACTTCACACAAATCACCTGGAAATCTCATTAAAATCTAGATTCTGGGGCAGGCATTTAGTGCAGCAGTTAAGATACCACTTGGCATGCCTGCATCCCATATCCGAGTGCATAGGTTTAAGTCCTGGCTCTGTTTCCGAATTTGGCTCCCTGCCTCTGTGCATCTTGGGAGGTAGCAGGTGGTAGCGGAAGTACTTGGGAGCCTGCTGCCCACATGGGAGACCTGGATTGAGTTATGGGTCCCTGTCTCCTAGCTTCTGTCTGGCCCAGCCCTGGCTATTGTGACTATTTGGGGAACGAACCAGCAGATAGAAGTCCTCTCTGCCTTTCTCTCTCTCTCTAATGATGACTTTCAAATAAATACATAAATCTTTTTAAAAAATTAAAAATAAAAAAATTTTTAAAATCATTTAAAAAAAATGTAGATGTCGGTTCAGTAGAACCCCCGTAGAGCCCGAGACTGTATTTCTAGTGAAGTAATGCAGATGCTGTGGTCTATAGACCACTTTTTGAATAGAATGACTGTGGGTCCCATTTGGGCCAGATTCCAACTGCCTGACTTTGTATACAGCTAAAGGTTCACAGGTCAATAAGATGCTCCAGTCAGAGCCTGGACATTTTCTCTATGGACCACATGAGACCCCAAGAACCCACACACTTAAACAGAGCTCCTTTTTGGTTCTCTTCCCTCAGACTTTCCTCTTTAGAACAGATGGGACTACAGGGAGAACTGTTTGTGGGCTGTGATATGGTTCAGATTTGGACATTTACAAGGTCCTCCATAGTAGAAGGGGAAGCTGAGGATTTAAATAGGAAGCTGGACTATAGGCCTGCATTTGTCCTTTCCAGGCAATAACTTTTGTTTCAATTTTTAAAGATGTATATATTTATTTGAAAGGCAGAGAGACAGACTTGTGGCCTGGGAGCAGGCATTATGTTGTAGTCAAGCTGCCACTGGGTTATTTGCATCCCATATTGGAGTGCCTGGTTTGAACCCCAGCTATTCTACTTCTAGTACAATGTCCTGATAATGTACACCCTGAAGGACAGCAGATGGTGGCCCAAGTACTTAGGTTCCTGGCTTTACATTGGCCAACCCTTAGCTAATGGATGAAGATCTCTCTCTCACTCACTCACCTACTCTTTCTCTCTGCCTTTCAAGTAGGTGGAAATAAACAAACATTTAAACCAATGCCAAGTGTAACTGTGCTTCAACAGAGATGGAACAGATAGATATATTTTCCCTGTTCTTCCTCCTACAAGTAAAACCCCTGTGATATAGATAGATGTGCAGACAGACTCTAAAGTAGAAGGTTGACTAGCTAAGGACAGTGAGCCCCAGTGTGTGTGTATTTAAAGAACAGGAAATCAGTATGACTAAGAGATATCTATATTCCCATGTTAACTGTAGCATTATTTGCAATAGCCAATATTTAAGTCAACCTAAGTGTGCATCAATGGATGAGTAGATAAAGAAAATGGTATATAGTCATGAAAATACTGTTCATCCTTACAAAAGAAGAAAATCCTGTCATTTGTGAAAACATCGATGAACCTGGAGAACATTAATTAAGCCATACATAGAAAGATAAGTGCTGCCTTATTCTCAGTTAAATTGGAATCTAAAAAAGCCAGAATCAGGGCTGGTGCTGTTGCTCAGTAGGTTAATCCTCCACCTACAGTGCTGGCATCCCATATGGGTGCCGATTCTAGTCCTGGCTGCTCCACTTCTGATTCAGCTCTCTGCTGTGGCCCCAGAAAGCAGTAGAAGCTGGCCCAAGTCCTTGGGCCCCTGCACCTGCGTGGGAGACCCGGAAGAAGCTCCTGGCTTCAGATCAGCCCAACTCCAGCCTTTATGGCCATCTGGGGAGAGAGCCAGTGGATGGAAGACCTTTCTCTCTGTCTCTCCCTTTCACTGTCTGTAACTCTACCTCTCAAGTAAATAAGAAAAATCCTAAAACAGAGAACGAAATAGTAATTACCAGAGCTAGTGGCTGGGGGCATTGGGAAGATGTTGATCAAAAGACGCAAAATTTAAGTTAGGAGAAATAAGTTCAAGAGACTGATTATAACATGGTAAGTATAACTAATAGAATATATTGTGTACTTGAAAATTGTTGAGAGTAGATTGAGTCTTCTCACCACAAAAAGGTATGTGAGATAATATATTTCTTAAATAGCTTAATTTAGCCATTCCACAATGTATATACATATCAAAAGCTGTGAAGTTTTACTTTCCAATTAAAAATAAATATGCAAAATTTTTCTTGTCAATTAAAGTAACAGAGAAGTATCAAGAACATAGAAAATGAAAAGCAAATAAGCTAGATAGAAAGAAAAACGTAAAGAACAAAAACAAATGAAATTAAAAACAGGAAAATGGTAGAGAAAAATCAATGAAACCACAAGCTTGTTCTCAGAAAAGATCAATAAAGTTGGGTAAACTCTAGCAAGACTGACAAAGGAACAAAGAGACAGATTAACAATATAAGAATCAAAGAGGGATAACATTACAGACCTTGCCAACCTCAAATGGATAATAAGGGAATATTGTGAGGAATTCTATACATGTCAAATGGACAACTTAGATAAAAGTGGATGATGTTGGCTGGCGCCGCGGCTCACTAGGCTAATCCTCCGCCTTGCGGCACTGGCTCACCAGGTTCTAGTCCCGGTCGGGGCGCTGGATTCTGTCCCGGTTGCTCCTCTTCTAGGCCAGCTCTCTGCTGCGGCCAGGGAAGTGCAGTAGAGGATGGCCCAAGTCCTTGGGTCCTGCACCCACATGGGAGACCAGGAGAAGCATCTGGCTCCTGCCTTCGGATAGGCGTGGTGCGCCGGCCGTAGCACACCACCCGCAGCGGCCACTGGAGGGTGAACCAACGGCAAAAAGGAAGACCTTTCTCTGTCTCTCTCTCTCTTTCACTGTCCACTCTGCCTGTCAAAAAAAAAAAAAAAAAAAAAGTGGATGATGTCTCAAAAAGCACCAACTGGGGCTGATGTTGTAGCATAATAGGCAAAACTGCTGCTTGCAATGCCGGCATCTCACATGGGTGCCAGTTCCTGTCCTGGCTGCTACACTTCTGATCCAGCTCCCTGCCAATGCACCTGGGAAAGCAGCAGAAGATGGCCCAGGTGCTTGGGCCCCTGCACCCTCATGGGAGACCTGGAAGAAGCTCTTGGCTTGGCCCTGCCCTGGCCATTGTGGCCATTTGGGGAGGGAACCAACAGATCTTTCTCTCTCTCTCTCTCTCTCTCTCTCTCTCTCTCTCTCTCTCTGTAAACTCTGCCTTTCAAATAAATTAAGTAAATATTTTTTAAAAGTACTACTACTATTTACCCAAAATAAATAGTTTGAATAGCTGTGCGACTCAAGAAAAATCAAATGCCTAATTTTTAATTTCCTCCCAAATAATCTTTAAGTCCAGGGGATTTCACTGGAAATTTGCACCAAATATTTAAAAAAGAATTAGCAGCAATTCTACATTCTCTTCCAGAAAATTAGAAGACAAGTGAACGCTTCTTAATTCATTTTATGAAGCTCATACTTTCCTGATATTGAAACCAAAGACAGTACAAGAGAAAAAAATTTCAGATCAATATCCTTTATAAGTGTAGTCATAAAAATTCTTGGCAAAGTATTGGCAAATAGATTTCAGCAAGATAAAAAAGGGATTATATGCCATGACAAGTATGGTTTATTCCAGAGATGGAAAGCTGGTTCAATATTCAAAAATCAATGAAAATCACCACATTGACAGGCTAAAGAGAAACAATTGCACAATCAATCCTTGCAGAAAAAGCATTTGAAAAATTCAATCCCCAATAATGACATAAAAACTCTTGGAAGAACTATCTCAATTTAATAAAGAATGTTTTCACAAAGCCTACAGCTAAACAGGACATCTAGTGGGGAAGCACTGTCTGCTTCCCCCTGTGACTGGGAACAAGACAAGAATGTCTGTCTATTCACCACCATGCTACCTGTTCTAGTCAGGACAATACGGTGAGCAAAGGAAATAAACGTCAATTGAAAAGAAAAAAACAAAACTTTTTATTTGCAGTAAATGTGATTATCTAGGTAGACATTCCCAAGGAATTTACCAAAATAATACACACAAAAAATCCTGCTAGAACACAAAACAAATATATGCCTCCAAAACAAAACACCAAAAGTGTTTATATTTACTATCAATAAGCACATTGACACTGAAAACTAAAAAAAAAAAAAAAAAAACAAAAAACCACACATTCCCTTTTAGAGTCCCTTAAAAAGAATAAATACTTAGATTTAAGTGTAACAAGGCATATGTAGGACTTAAATGCTGAAAATGATTAAACAAGGAAACTATAAATGAGTGGATATACTATGTTTATTTATCAGAAGACAACACAGTGAAAATGACAATAAAAAATGTCAATTTTCCCCAAGTGTATAGGCTTAATACAATTCCTATAAAAATCCCAGCAAAGTCTTTTTTAGATCATTATGGATACAGACATAATTATTCCAAAATACATTTAAAAAGGCTAAGGAACTATAATAGCTAAAACAAATTTGAATAAAATGGAATCAGTGTATCCAATTTAAAAACTTATACTACAGAAGAAACACACATAGGCAGAGAGAGACACGTAGAACAGTGGAACATAATTGAGAGCTCAGAAACAGACTTGGTAGACTTAGCCATGAATTCTTTTTTAGTTACAAGAGCAAAGCATCCATAACGATTCAGCTTATCAATGTGTTGACAGCTGATATCGTAGTAATGATATAATCAGTAGTCTACCCTCACAAAGTCATTTATGGGATCTACTGCTGCTTTCCCACCAAGAGTGAGGCATCTACATGACACCTTCCTGACAGGAAGGATGGATGAGGTGGTTTTTGATGTCACCATCAGGTGTTTGTCATTAGACTTACAGCCACAGCAAATGCCAAGAGAACAGGGAAGACCTTCCCCTGAGGGGCAGAGCTCAGCATGGGAGCCTTTGTGGGGTTTTGCCCTCTCCTACAGAATTTGGTGATGGGTATGCAGGATTCCGATGAGCTCAGAGCTCTGCCTACTTGTGTTCAGAGTGGGCCCATGTTTTTCAGATTGTGTCCCACAAGCCCCAGGGATGTCTCGAAGGTTTCAAAAAGACCCTTAGGACCCCTACAAAGAGTATGGTTCTGTTTCTGCTCCTGGGTAATATTCTGTTAGAAAAGATGATTCATAGGAAGGAAGAAGTTTTTTTTTTTTTTTTTTTTTTTAAGATTTATTTATTTGAAAGTCAGAGTTACACAGAGAGAGGAGAGGCAGAGACAGAGAGAGGTCCTGTATCCACTGGTTCACTCCCCAGTTGGTTGCAATAGCCAGAGCTGCTCCAATCCGGAGCCAGGAGCTTCTTCCAGGTCTCCCACATGGGTGCAGGGGCCCAAGGACTTGGGCCATCTTCTGCTTTCCAAGGCCATAGCAGAGAGCTGGATGGGAAGTGGAGCAGCCGGTTCTTGAACCAGCGCCCGTATGGGATGCCGGTGCTTCAGGCCAGGGCATTAACTTGCTGTGCTGCCCCTGAAGGAAGAGATTTGAACACCATTTGGTACCTGAGTGACCTTGAGCAAGTTTTTCACTTCTCTGGGCTTCTGTTTCCTCATCAGTAAAACTGGAATACAAGTAGTGATCGCCATGAGAATTAAGTGAAGTAATGCATTTAAACCCTTAGTATACTGCTTGATACATATAACCTAGTTGCTTCTTATTGTTGTCTTTGATGTTTGTAATAATCATCTCTCATCTCCCGGTGTAAGAGGTACAGGGATTTTCCAAGGTCACACAGGATGTTTGTAGGTGCAGGTAAGAGGAGGGATCCAAGCCATGGCCATGTTGTGGCTCCAGCAGCTGGCAGGTTGCTAAGCAACCCCTCTGCTATGTGTCATTTCCATGCTATGGTAAAGCTATTCACTTGAAAGAAAGGTACATAACTATGAACAAAGTGAGCAGAGGCCCAGAGCTGTGGGTCACATCCTCTTGTTTTAATCCCTTACTTCCAGACCTCTTGAGATGCAGCCTTTTGGACTTTATGTTCCTACCTTGTAGTAAATAATTATTATTGTTTATTCACTTGAGATACACAGAGAGAGCTCCTATCCACTGGTAACTCCCCAAATACCTACAATGGCCATGACTGGACTCGACCAAAGTGAGGAGCTGGGAACTCAGTTCCAGTCTCCCATGTGAATAGCAGGGACCCAAGTACTTGAGCCATCACCTGCTGCCGCCCAGGGTGCACATTAGCAGGAAGCTGGAAATGGAAATGGAGATGGGACTTGAACCCAGGCACTCCAGTATCAGTTGAGAGCATCCCACCCTGTGACTCACCCAGTAGGCCACACACCTGCCCCATTTGGAGTAAGTTTTGATGGCAAACTTGCCCTTGAAGAATGTCCAATTTGCTAAAGAGAACTGTCAACATTACGAACGTTCATTAATTGAATGTGTATTCTTTTCTTTTCTTACCAGTGGTAGGTAAGGCATCGCAGAGCCATGCTGTCATCTTTTCTATGACAGGCTAAATATGTTATTTACTCTCAAGCTGGCTAGAAGCAAATGAGATGATTATTTGTTAGTTCTTTTAAGATCACTGACAGGTAAATAAATGGGGAGATGGATGAGGAGAGTATCATTTTCAGAGTTGGAAAACAAACTCATCCTAGTAATGGATTTGGGGAAATTGTATCATAAATACATTTCTAAAGTGTGAATAGCTAAACAATTTTAAAGGAAGGCACAACAGAATAAAATGATTTTATTCAAAAATCGGCAATAATGAAAGTGTGGAATTACCCAAGTTGATGTATTCTTGGCCACCCAGGCAGGCGTTTAGGTGTGTGTGCCCACGATCTCAACTGAGAGTCCCTGACGGAGACTTAGGGTTGCATTTACTGTATCTATGGGCTGAAAAATACTACAGGTTGCTTGGTCAGTTTTCTAAACTGAAGCTTCAGGACTGTAACAGCAAGAAGATGAAAAGGAACAGAGAGAAAAATCCTAGTGATAGTACACACTCTTTTGTGAGCAGTAGGGAGAAAGCCTTTATAGATAAAGCAAACAAAAAACAAATAAGCCACTTTGAGAAAACTGCATCAGCATCTACGCAGCATCTAGTGCTCTGCCATTACAGCATCCCCTTTACTCTTCCTATCAACTCCCTAAAGTCACGGCCAAGTGGTCCAGTGTCATAGAGGAGCAAGCTGAAGTGCAAAGAAATGAAGTAATTTCTCTGCAATGCTCTGGGATTAAGTGGCCAGATCGGGACTTGAACCCAAATTCTTTCCACTCTTCATATTTGCTAATCACTTAGGTTAGTCTCATGTCATCACAGAAAGTCCACAATCAGAAAGTCAAAAGATAGTTGAGCCTCTGTTGATGGACTCCTCTCAGCCAGCTGCATTTAAGGAAGCAAAATGCACACGGAGCAGAACACTCTGGGACAAGATAGAGTTCATTTATTTGAGCAGGGTTTGGGCTTGTGTTAGCCCTTTGCCTTGCCTTTCTAGTTTGAGTTCTGATTGCTACCAGGAACTCTCAGTGCTCTCTCTTAAACATGAACTGCGGATTTATTTACTAAAGCAGGAAACTGACCATGTTTTTGTGGATTTTCATTGGCTATAAATACCAGCCTGGAAATCTCCATGGGAATTAAACCCATGAGTGACCCCAGAATCTTCCAAATCTATGCACAGAGCTTTGCCAAGGTTAAGAATAATAAACAATAATCTTTCATAATTGTTTTAATTCTAGGTACTGTAAGATAAACTGCCTTGAAATAATTGTTTTCTGTTTATTTTAGCAACTTACGAAGTCAGACTTGAAGAACTCCAACAGGTATTGTTTCCTGTCTCCTCACTAATGTTCTAACTCTGAGTCAATCAAGTGTACAGGGTTGATTCTGATGTAGCTCCTTTTAGGAGGGAGGAAAGGTGTGTGTTTTTGGCTTTCCCCCTATTTCTGAGTTTTTTTCTAGACTCCAGCTCCAAAGATTGTGAAGTGTGAGTCCTGAGATGTGATGGGAGGAGATGGCCCTAATCCATTCCCAACTCCTGCTAGGGGCAGCCAGAGCCTTTTGACTTTCAATAACTGACCCTTCCAAGAAGAAGAGGTGTCTGACACAAACCAAATGTGTGCAGCTTGTTTGTTGAAGAAAACGGCCAGAGCCTCCAAGGCCTGCTGTCTGGGTTCCTGCTGGATGGAGAGCCAGATGCAACCCTGTGGCATAGCGAATCGCTCCTGGCCTGAATCACAGCCCCAGGCTGTGTGATCTAGAATCTATTTCCTCACCTGGAAGACGGGGATTATACAGCACCCACATCTTTTGAGAATGAACATAAATCCACTTGAACAGTTTGTGGAGGAGGGCCTGGAACAGAGCCTGCCCCTCTCTGAGCCTCTCCTCTGTCATCCTCAAGGTGCTGTGTTCTCCATGAGGACAGGAAGCCCGTTTCCTGTGGTTACTGCAGATGCACTAGTGTAGAGGCTCAGTCAGTAAGAGGACCGATTCTTGTCGTGCTGACTGAATTGCTGGGAGAGTCTGTAAGCACCCAGTTAGAGTGCCTGGCACATTGTAGAAACTCATCCCATGTTTTTTTTTTTTTTTTTTTTTTTTTTTTTTTTTTTTTTTTTTTTTGACAGGCAGAGTGGACAGTGAGAGAGAGACAGAGAGAAAGGTCTTCCTTTGCCATTGGTTCACCCTCCAATGGCCTCCGCGGCTGGCGCACTGCGACCAGCGCACCACACTGATCCGAAAGCAGGAGCCAGGTGTTTCTCCTGGTCTCCCATGGGGTGCAGGGCCCAAGGACTTGGGCCATCCTCCACTGCACTCCCTGGCCATAGCAGAGAGCTGGCCTGGAAGAGGGGCAACCGGGACAGAATCCGGCGCCCCGACCGGGACTAGAACCTGGTGTGCCGGCGCCGCAAGGCGGAGGATTAGCCTAGTGAGCTGCGGCGCCGGCTCCCATGTTTTCATAGGGTCAAGTAAAGGTCTACTCTTTCCCCCCAGGTACATTTAGTCTATCCTCTTACCCGTCTCCACTTTGATTTTCTTATGAGTGCTACTAAGAGTTATTCATTTGTGGATATACTTTGTAGCTAGAAAAATATGCAAATATTTCTTATTCCTATGAAGGGGAGTAGAAAGAGTCTACTAAGATGCTTCACTTACCTGGCAACATCCACTAATAATAAAGTGTTCTACAACGGATGGCCAGGCCTCCACCATCAGTTTTGGAAAACCTGCCTGGCTGCCCTCAGGCCACCCTCAGCAGACTGAGGCCTGGGCTGTGCGGCAGAGATCAGGCCTTGTACCAGGCCTTGTACCTGCAAGTCACGGTGCAGGTTATCTGCAGTCCCTATAACCACCCACCCAGACCAAATACAGCCTTCAACCAGGGACCAAGAGGGTATGAGGCCCTGCTCTAGAAAAATACCTCTATTGTAGAAAGAGTTAACGATACAGAATCAAGGAAGAAAATTTGGAGTGGTTTCCAGTGAAAACTTCTACCCTAGCCTAAATGTGTTCCAAAGACACACGTTGTGGCTGTCGTCATTGTGACTTTAAGGAAGCATGACTGGGCATTTTCCTTATGACTTGCTGCCAGGCGTTTCCAGCTGGGGAACAAGCTGCAAGTATCTCATGTGAGAGGCTTTCACATGGCCTTTTGTCGCAGGAGCCTCCGCAAAGCTGGGCTTTGTGCAAGTGTGGGGCAGGGACTGAGGCCGTGGGAGTCTTGGCCCTGGCATCCTCACGGCCCCCTGCCATGGCTCCCTGCCACTTCTCTGTGCGTCTCTATCCCCATCCCCAGTGTCTTTGCCATTGGCCGTATCAGATGGCCTCATCACAGGCTCAGCTAAAAGAAGGGATGCCCTTCTGCCTTAGTGTTGCCTGGGACCGGACTGGGGGCATGTCCAGCTGGGATATCAAATGACAGTTCAGAACTCTAAGCCCTGGGGCCAAACATGTGAGCGGTTTTAATTTTTCTCAAGATGCACTGATTCCCACTGTGCATGGTGGTGATAAATCAGAGTGAAAACTGGTAGGGACCGTGGTCTAACACTGGTCCTCGTCGCAGGTTGGGTCCCCAGAGGGTGAGTTTCAGAGACTGGGCTTCTTCTGAGAGGGCAGGGAGGTGGGCAGGGCCATCACTCTGATTTCCACCGGGTTCTTCCTTTTCCAGCTTGCCTACACAGCCCCTCCCTCCCACAGCCTCCTGCTCCAGACCCCTCCTCCAAGAGCCCTCTGTCCCCAGAGGATGCTTTTTTTTTTCCTGTGCCATATTCATGCCCAGCCAATGAGCTCTTCCCAGCAGTCTCCCTCAGACCCAGTGCTATTCTGAAAAGTTAGCCTACGTGACTCGCCTGAGAGAATTTCAGTCACTCAGTTCCTTGAACAGCCTCTGTTCATGCCCGGCAGCAGCCGTGCCAATGCCAGTGCCCTCGTGTTTGGGGGAGATGGGAGGAGCAGGGAGCAGTCTTTCCAGAGAACTGCAGCAAGGCAAGCGCTACCGTCTCCCCACCTCTCCCAGGCAGGCCTCCCTGTCACTGACTGTGGAGGCCCAGGCTCAGGCTAGGACCGCCTCCAGCCCCACCCTCCCCCTCCTCTGTGTCTCCCAGAACCTCAGGAGCATGCTTATTGTGATCAGCTAACTCCCCGTGGACATGTACAGGCAAGTGGAGTGGAAACAGAGTCATGTACTTGTGTCACAGAGATGTCACATGCCCAGAGAGGCCCACTGGTTAAAAGGGGCAGAGAGAGAGGAGGCATGAAACCGTTACTCCCACCCAGAAATAAAGCTTGTATATGACGTTTGTTTCTGACCTCACAGCCAGACTAATAGCTGTGTCTAGTATGGAGGTGTTAGCTGGTTTTCTTTGATGTTTTTCCTAATGCAATAAACTCATTTCTGCCTGCTTAAAAAAAAAAGTGTTCTACAAAAGGGAACATAAATGACTGGATTTTATCCCATTCAAATAAAAAAATTGAAAGTATTTTTGATTTTACATATTTTAATCAGATATGTTTTGTACTCATCTCTATATTTTTAAGCCAAATGAATGGCATCTGACTTATCATTTTCTGATGACTTGGGAAGATTCTTGAATATAAAGGTAGGAGTATACATAGTTCCTGTTCTGAGATACACTTGGCCCTTGGAAAAGGACACATTGTCTTCACAGCAAACCACACAGATCTGTTTTCCGTCATCATTTTCTCTTTTCTGGTGATTATTATTTCTTCCTATTTTCAACATCTTTGTGTCCAGCAATGAATCTTTCTTGCAGTCGAGCACATACCGAGAACCTGCTGTGTGCCAGTACTTCTGCAGATGTGGTAGCACTTGCTCCTCAGAATAACTTGTGAGCTGCTGTCACTGCTTCCATTTTACAGGTGATAACATCAAGGCTCAGAGAGGTCACATAACTTGTAATTCTACTGTTGCTGCATCTCGTTTGCTGGACTTAAATGTGAACTCAGAATCAATGAAGGCCTACAGGGACAAGTGTATGAGCTATCACACCTGTAGTTTATGGCAGAATTTTTGATGCTTAGATACTTTGTTTTCTTCAGCATCTTTGGGTGGAGTCCAAATAATGTATCAGGTAGATGGCGACTGAATAAATGGAGGAGTATGTTATGATCACTGGGACATAGTTTTAGGGAAGCCAAATCTAGGTTACGGAAGAGCTGAGTTTTGATCAGAGGGTGTATTCACGACCAGTGGGCAAGGGAGAATTTCCAGCACTACCTGCACACTTGCCCATAGCTGTTGTGCCCCCTGAAACATTGTTCACATGCCACTAATTCATACTTCCTCAGATGATTTGGAAGTTCTTTTTTCTACAAATGCATTTCTGGGAGGGTGTGTAGAGAACGATTAGTTTTGCTAAGTCACATGATACATTTCCTTAGACATGTACCATCATTTCAGAAATGACCATCAGCTTCATGAGCAGTAGTTCATAGAAATTCCTGTCGTCAGTGTCGGCCTTTGTTCCATATTGAGATACCGCCCCCCTCAACTTTTAGTCTAGTATCTTATGATATGTAACCAAACAATAGAATCTGATTAAGGATTATGAAAATGATGATTTCTCTTTTCTTTCAGCCTTGGAAGAATGTGCCACATGAGGAACACAGGTGAGTGCCATCTTCAGAAGAAAAAGAATTAGTTCAACCACTGGCTGTCTGACAGCTGAACTGTTTTTGCTTGATGCACAGTTAAGTTTCCAGTGACTGACTTGGTTCGGTTTCCCCAGCAGCTTGCAGATTGCCTGGTGCAGAGAAAGTGCTCGGTGGCACTGCCCTGTCTTTCTGTCTGGCCTCACTGCAGTCCATACTTCATGCACTCAGGAAGCACTATGTACCTACCACATGCCAGGCATCCTCTGATGACCAGGCATTTGTCCACCAGAAGGGCTGCAGTGGCGATGGGGACCAAGCTATTGCCCCTAGGAGCTCCTGGATTGGTGGGAGAGTCATATGACCAATTAGGCAAACAATAATCATGTGAATCCAAAAGAATTCATAATTTCCAGAATGTACCATGTTGCAAATGTCTCTGCACATTTAAATCATTAATTCTCCCCAAATTAAGGATCTAGCTAGCATTGATCCACCAAGCACCCCCTTTTGTAAGAAGCCTTCCTTGATTTCTCTCCCACCAGAGAAGTAACCAGTCCCTTGCCTGTGGTTTTGCAGTAAGGTACACACACATGTGCACGAATGTCACACTATGTAGCATGTTTGCTAACATGCCAGTTCCTCCCCTACCTCTCTTGCCTGGAGCCCCTTATGGGAAGGGACAGCATTTTGTTCTAGGTGTCCCAGGTAGCTCTTGTTCTTCCTGGGTCCAGAGAAGGGCCCTGGAACACAGCAGGCTCCTGCTTGCCTCTTTGGATTCTGCTTTATCTCTTGACCCTGGAGTCATGTTTAAAGAACCAAAGAAAGAAGTTTGGTGAGCCCTGGAGAAGCAAGTATTGGAATTTCCTGGTCAAGGTTAAAAACCATGAAATTCCGAATCATGGGAAATCTGCTGCAGTTGGGTGAATTATTGTTGTCTCCTTGGGTTCCTGCCTGATGCTAAATTCATGATCCTTATAAGTGGCACTATAGTACCTAGTACAGTGCTAGGGAGTTGTGAAAAAATTAACTATTTAGTTGAGTATTCATTGTGCTTGAGATAGAAGTCTCAATCTCCCTTTCTCTCACTCCCTCACCCCTCTCTCTCTGAAACTCTTTCAAAATAAAAAATCTTAAAAAATACTATGTCATCTGTGCAGATCATGTAGACTTTTCTTATGACTCTCCAGACAGTACAGTGTAAGAATGTTTACATAGCATTTACATTGTATTAGGTAGTATAAGTAATCTACAAATGAGTTAGATTCTGGGGCACAAAAATGAACAGTATCCTGCCGTTCACTGCAGATGGAAATGGAAACTGGTTGCTGGGGGTAGGGAAGGTGACTTGCAGGGGAAATGGCCAAATAAATATGAAATTATAGTGTAATATAATCCCTGCTATGGACATTGTGCAAGCACAGAGGTGATGCACAAAATCTAGTCTCAGGCCCCAGCAGTGCTTCCTTGAAGAGTGATGCCTGAGCTAAATATTCAAAGAAGCGTGGGTTGGGCCAGGTGAGAATGGTGGAATGTATGTTCCTGGCACATGGAAAAGGATGTGCAGAAAGAGGGAGTGTTAACTAGTAAAGTCCAGGAATCAACACACAGTTGGATATTGCTTGAGCTTAAAGTGTAGTGTGGTAGCAGCAGGAACAAGCTAGGGATGTGTGCAGAGCTGGATCCATAAGGGCCTGAGCTCCTTAATTAATCACTTAGACCAGCTCTATCCAATAGAAACAGAATGCAAACCATATTTATGATTTAAACATTTCTTGTGGTTATACTTTAAAAAGTTAAAAGAAACAGGTAAAATTAATTTTAATAATATATTTTGCTTACATCAATATAGTCACCCCTCAGTGTCCTCAGGGATACCAGGACCCCCAGAGATAACAAAATCCAAGGATGTTCAAGTCCCTTGTGTTATATAAAATGGTGTAGTATATGCGTTGTAATCTCTATGTCTTTGCTTTTACTTAACTCATTTGTAGATTACTCATACTACCTAATACAATGTAAATGCTATGTAAACATTCTTACACTGTACTGTCTGGAGAGTCATAAGAAAAGTCTACATGATCTGCACAGATGACATAGTATTTTTTAAGATTTATTTATTTATTTTGAAGTCAGAGTTCCAGAGAGAGAGGGGTGAGGGAGTGAGAGAAAGGGAGATTGAGACTTTTATCTGCTGATTCACTTCCCAGGTGGCTGCAATGGCCAGAGATAGGCCAGGCCGAAGCCAGGAGCCAGGAGCTTCATTCAGATCTCTCACACGAGTAGCAGGAGCCAAAAACACTTGGGCCATCTTCCCCTGCTTTTCCCAGGCCATTAACAGGAAGCTGGTTTGGAAATGGAGTAGCCAGAACTCAAACCAGCACCCATATGGGATGCTAGCGTCACAGGCAATGACTACCTGCTATGCCACAATGCTGACCCCTATAGATGACATTTTAAAAATTAGTTTTTATTTGCATTGGTTGAATCCATGCACACAAAGCCTAAAGAACACAGGGGGCTGACTGTACTTCCAAAGTGTCACCATTTTACATGTAATCAGTCTAAATGACAGATTTTATATCCTTTTACCCCGACAGATATCCAACACCCTGGTATATCTTACACTTCCAACTCAGTGGGTAGAAGACACATTTCAAGTGTTCAGTAGCTACATGTAGCCAATGGCAACTGCCTTAGCATGAATTTCTGTATCCTATAGATCAGAGAGAATGGGAAACAGCTTTAAAATTGAGATAGTTTATCCCTCCCCCACCACCTTGACTGTCCTACAAGTCAGAAAACTAAACTTAATTCAATATTTAAAAATCCCCAAATCCAGACGTGATACCACAAGGAGAAAATTCCATGACCTTGGGTGATGAGTCACAGTCCAAAGTCAGGCACACAGAAAATGTTATGTAAAATACTCTTCAAATTTACTATAGAAGCTATATATGAAACCTAAGTGAGTTTTGTTTAGACTTCTGCTGTCTCCGACAAGGTATCTCATTATGTAAATGCAAATATTTCAAAATCCCAAATCTGGAACACTGTGGTCCTCCGCATTTCGGGTAAAGGAGACTCAACCTACAGCTGTTCATTAAGATACTGCTGTGTAGAATCTACTGGAAAGCAGAGGACAGAAACATTTACAAAGGACATATATATCGATATGGACAGATAGATTCCTGAAGAGAACTAAGAGCAATATAATTATGGAAATGTAAGAACTGAACAACTCTGGTTTATCAGGTGCTTAAAGGACAATAAGGAGTGTGGATCTGTGACAGGCCGTGAACAATGCTAGGTGTTCCACCTTTACATCACGTCTCATTTTCATGGCCACTATAGAGATAGGCATTGTAACGTACATATGAGGAAAGGTGATTTTTATAAAGGTTAATCTTAGGCTTTTAGAAAGAGGAAGGGAGTGCAGAACTCACTACATAGCCCCTGTTCATCACAGAATTACTTTATGGCCCTATTGATGGGCTAGAGTACTTGGACAAATGAGTAAATGAATCAAGCTTCTTAAAACTTTCTGGTTGTCTTTCAGAACAGCACTCCCCCTGAGATGCCCCCTTCCTTCGTGACCACCTCTTCTGATTCCCTTGGAGGACTCCTCTTTCTCAGTCTTCCATATAAATGTGGTAGCTGAAAGACTGTAGGACCATCAAGCTTATTATAATGGCAGAAACAGAAATCCTCACATGCATGTCTGGGTTCCCCAGCATTTCATTCTTGGTCCATGCTTTCGTCATTTTGCTCTGCACCTTAACTCTCTCACATGCTCTTCCCCTGCAGCCTTCATGTCTGTACTGCTCCGTGCAGTCATTCCTTTGATTAGGGAACCCTAGGTATCATCCTGTGATGGACTATTCCTCCCATGGATTACACTGCTGGTGATACCCATGTGAACAAAATAGCTCTGTCTCTATAACTTGATTTTTAGGTGGCTGACAAGACAGAGGAGGAAATAGAGTCAGATCTGTATAGACACAGTAGAATACAACATAGAAGGACAAAGTGTTAAGGGACCAGAGAAGAAATGACTGCTTGTGAGAATCTTTCCTGATTCTCAGGTAAGATGATTTAGACAAATTAAGAAAGGTGTTGTATGAGGGTACTTCAAAAGATCTGTAGAAAAAAGATGGAGTTAAAAGATAAGTGTATTTTGGTGCAAAAGAATTTTGGGGGGCTGGTGTTGTGGCGTAGCAGGTAAAGCAGTCTCCTGCGAGGTGGGCATCCCATATGGACATCAGTTCATGTTCTGGCTGCCCCACTTCTGATCCAGCCAGATTTTATCCTAACAGGCAATGGGGACTTCGGAGATTTTAAGCAAGCATTAACATCTGGATTCAGCTGGAGCAGGCAGAACCTTGGGGAAGCTGTCTATATGATTGATCTGATCCTAGTCCCTTTATCTTAAAAAAGATTATCTGTGTAAATTCATTTTCTCCATTCATTGCATTTAGAATTGAGCATTGCGTTGTCATGTAAATAAGCTTCATTTTCCCCCTGGTATCTCTTTGCATTTCAGCTCTGAATATGACGACAAAGACGTGAAGGGAAAAGAGCCACACGAATTGGAAGCTCAAAAAAATGAAAAAGATCAGCCTTTCAGGCATCCTTTCAAGGTAGTTGTGTTCTAGGTTCCTGGGCAAGCAGTCCAGTTCAGACCTGGAGCAGGATCAGCTCTAAAGGGTGGTTCCTAAAGGTTGAGACCAGCAGCTCTGCACAGAGACAAAGTCAGAAGGTAGACCAGGCATCAACAGATGTGACAAAAACCCTGGCACCAGCCCCTGGGTTTCCATTTACTAGCCCAGAAGGACTGCGGCATGGAAGCGGACCAGGGCCTAGAACAGGTTCAAGAAGGCACCCAGGATGCAAAATCAACTCACTGCCAGGTGCCATTTCTCTTAGTCCCTTTTCTGCCACTCTTAAAAAGAAATTCCTAAGACCACATAATTTATAAAGGATAGAAGTTAGGTTACAGTTCTGGGTGCTGGGAAGTCTGAGTGCATAGTGCTGGCATCTGTGAAAGGCCTTCTCGCTGAACCATAACAGGGCAGAAGGCATCATGTGGTGAGGCGGGGCAAGTGAGCCACAGAGGGTCTGCTTTTGTAACAAAGCCACTCTCTCTACACTCATTAATCCAAGATAAATCTGTTCCTGAGGGCAGATTCCATGTGTCCTTGCTGAGGTGCTACCTCCCAGTCCTATTTACATAAATTTGGGGAATAGCTGTTCAATATATGAAATTGGGGGACCCAAGAAAACCAGAGCTATGTCCCTGTACTCGCATGACCTTGGAGTGAGGGCTTCCTTAAAACCTGTGCCTTAAAACTCTGCTAGACAAGTGACTGTGAACTCCAGCATCCCATCTGTAAGATGAGAACAGTAGCCCCTATCGGACTCTATCCCAAGTGTATCTTGTTTGTGGTAAGAAGAAATAGGGTGAGTGAAAGCACTTTGGTTACCATCAGCTACCACAAGAACAAAAAGCATTGTTGCTGCTTTAATTAACATCAAACCTTGTGAACGGATGTGTATATATCCACGTCCAATGGGCATTGCCCCCTTCAAAGTAGTTAGTGTGGTGGGAGGCTTATGCAGTAGATACCTCCAGGGTTACCACCAATGCTCCACAGAGTCTGGATATTTGTTTGAGATGTGCCTATCTTTTACTATCAAATTGTACCAGTGCCATCTACTGGGCTGGGTAAATCAAATAGCAGTGGTGGCAGCATGGGCCTGAGTGGTGGTGTAAGCCCAGAGACCAGCTGGGCCAGCGTGGAGGTTTACAGAGTATCAGGAAGTAGTGCAATTCAAAGTCTGGAGTATGTCACTCTTTAAGAAAGACAGGGTCCAGAGCCGGGGAGCAGCACTGGTGTTAAGGCCAGGAGACTGGGGCAATGTCCTTCGTAAGTGCTGATGGAGATCAGGAGGGGTTGATCAGGACATCCGAGAAAGGGAAGAAAGAAACATGACCAAGCATAGTGACCATGAAGAAGCAGGTGTCGGCTCTGTTCCAGTGGTAACTCCGTGTCAGGAGCAGACACGGGGTCAGGCCCCCATCTAACATCTCCTCTCTTTGATTGCTGCAGGTTTGTGATTATGAAACTGTTGAAAGTTGCTTGACACATGTTAGGTGAATGATGTGGGTGGTCTAGCCAGGCAGTACTCTCTTTGAGGTAAAACATAAATGATAAATCTGTAGATACCTGATGCATTGTTATTTTTTTTTATCTTTTATTTAATGAATATAAATTTCCAAAGTACGACTCATGGGTTACAATGGCTTCCCCCCCATACCGTCCCTCCCACCCACAACCCTCCCCTTTCCCACTCCCTCTCCCCTTCCATTCACATCAAGATTCATTTTCGATTATCTTAATATACAGAAGATCCGCTTAGTATACCTTAAGTAAGGATTTCAACAGTTTGTTCCCACACAGAAACATAAAGTGAAAAATAATAGATGATTTTTTTTAAATGATGATGAAATCAGATCAGACCTATTGTCATGTTTAATCCCAGTGAGAGTCAAGTTGGGAATTGATAATTTCTTCTTCTTCTTCTTTTTTTTTTTTTTTTTTTTACAGAAGATCAGTTTAGTGTACATTAAGTAAAGATTTCAATCGTTTGCACCCCCATAGAAACACAAAGTGAAATATACTGTTTGCGTACTCGTTATAGCATTAAGCCTCAATGTACAGCACATTAAGGACAGAGATCCTACATGAGGAGCAAGTACACAGTGACTCCTGTTGTTGACTTTACAAATTGACACTCCTGTTTATGGCATCAGTAATCTCCCTATGCACCAGTCATGAGTTTCCAAGGCTATGGAAGCCCCTTGAGTTCTCCGACTCTTATCTTGTTTAGACAAGGTCATAGTCAAAGTGGAGGTTCTCTCCTCCCTTCAGAGAAAGGCACCTCCCTCTTTGAAGACCTGTTCTTTCCACTGGGATCTCACTCACAGAGATCTTTTTGCCAGAGTGTCTTGGCTTTCCATGCCTGAAATACTCTCATGGGCTTTTCAGCCAGATCCGAATGCCTTTAGGGCTGATTCTGAGGCCAGAGTGCTATTTAGGACATCTGCCATTCTATGAGTCTGCTGAGTATCTCACTTCCCATGTTGGATCACTCTCCCCTTTATTTATTCTATCGGTTAGTGTTAGCAGGTACTAGACTTGTTTATGTGCTCCCTTTGACTCTTAGTCCTTTCATTATGATCAATTGTGAACTGAAATTGATCACTTGGAATAGTGAGATGGCGTTGGCACATGCCACCTTGATGGGATTGAACTGGAATCCCCTGGTATGTTTCCAACTCTACCAATTGGGGCAAGTCAGCCCGAGCATGCCCCAAATTATACATCTCTTCCCTCTCTTATTCCCACTCTTATGTTTAACAGGGATCACATTTCAGTTAAATTTCAACACTTAAGAATAACTGTGTGATAATTACAGAATTAAACCAGTCATATTAAGTAGAACAGACAAAAAAATACTAAGAGGGATAATGTATTAAATTGTCCATTAGCAGTCAGGGCTACGCTGATCAAGTCACCATTTCTCATAGTGTCCATTTCACTTCAGGAGGTTTCCTTTTTGGTGTTCAGTCAGTTGTCACCGATCAGGGAGAACATATGGTATTTGTCCCTTTGGGACTGGCTTACTTCACTCAGCATGATGTGTTCCAGATTCCTCCTTTTTGTTGCAAATGACTGGATTTCGTTGTTTCTTACTGCGGTATAGTATTCTAAAGAATACATATCCCATAATTTCTTTATCCAGTCTACCGTTGATGGGCATTTAGGTTGGTTCCAGGTCTTGGCTATTGTGAATTGTGCTGCAATAAACATTAGGGTGCAGACCGCTTTTTTGTTTGTCAATTTAAACTCCTTTGGGTAAATTCCAAGGAGTGGGATGGCTGGGTCAAACGGTAGGGTTATCTTCAGGTTTCTGAGGAATCTCCAGACTGATTTCCATAGTGGCTTGACCAGTTAGCATTCCCACCAACAGTGGGCTAGTGTCCCTTTTTCCCCACATCCTCGCCAGCATCTGTTGTTGGTAGATTTCTGTATGTGAGCCATTCTAACCGGGGTGAGGTGAAACCTCATTGTGCTTTTGATTTGCATTTCCCTGATTGCTAGTGATCTTGAACATTTTTTCATGTGCCTGTTGGCCATTTGGATTTCCTCTTTTGAAAAATGTCTATTGAAGTCCTTGGCCCATCTCTTAAGTGGGTTGTTGGTTTTGTTTTTGTGGAGTTTCTTGATCTCTTTGTAGATTCTGGTTATTAACCCTTTATCTGTTGCATAGTTTGCAAATATTTTTTCCCATTCTGTCGGTTGTCTCTTCACTCTCCTGACTGTTTCTTTTGCAGTACAGAAACTTCTCAATTTGATGCGATCCCAATAGTTGATTTTGGCTTTGACTGCCTGTGCCTCCCGGGTCTTTTCCAGAAATTCTTTGCCTGTGCCAATATCTTGAAGGGTTTCTCCAATGTTCTCTAGTAACTTGATGGTGTCAGGACGTAGATTTAGGTCTTTAATCCACGTTGAGTGGATTTTTGTGTAAGGTGTAAGGTAGGGGTCTTGCTTCATGCTTCTACACGTGGAAATCCAGTTTTCCCGGCACCATTTATTGAATAGACTGTCCTTGCTCCAGGAATTAGTTTTAGATCCTTGATCAAATATAAGTTGGCTGTAGATGTTTGGATTGATTTCTGGTGTTTCGATTCTGTTCCATTGGTCTATCCATCTGTTTCTGTACCAGTACCATGCTGTTTGATTACAACTGCCCTGTAGTATGTCCTGAAATCTGGTATTGTGATGCCTCCGGCTTTGTTTTTGTTGTACAAGATTGCTTTAGCTATTCGAGGTCTCTTGTGCCTCCATATGAATTTCAGCATCATTTTTTCTAGATCTGCGAAGAATGTCTTTGGTATCTTGATTGGGATTGCATTGAATCTATAAATTGCTTTTGGGAGAATGGACATTTTGATGATATTGATTCTTCCAATCCATGAGCATGGAAGATTTTTCCATTTCTTGGTATCCTCTTCTATTTCTTTCTTTAAGGTTTTGTAATTCTCATCGTAGAGATCTTTAACGTCCTTGGTTAAGTTTATTCCAAGGTATTTGATTGTTTTTGTAGCTATTGTGAATGGGATTGATCTTAGCAGTTCTTTCTCAGTCATGGCATTGCTTGTGTATACAAAGGCTGTTGATTTTTGTGCATTGATTTTATATCCTGCCACTTTGCCAAACTCCTCTATGAGTTCCAATAGTCTCTTAGTAGAGTTCTTTGGATCCTCTAAGTACAGAATCATATCGTCTGCAAAGAGGGATAGTTTGACTTCTTCCTTCTTGATTTGTATTCCTTTGATTTCTTTTTCTTTTCTGATGGCTCTGGCTAAAACTTCCAGAACTATGTTAAATAGCAGTGGTGAGAGTGGGCATCCCTGCCTGGTGCCAGATTTCAGTGGAAATGCTTCCAACTTTTCCCCATTCAGTAGGATGCTGGCTGTGGGTTTTTTATAAATTGCTTTGATTATATTGAGGAATGTTCCTTCTATACCCAATTTGCTTAGAGTTTTCATCATGAACGGGTGTTGTATTTTATC